AAAGCTTCGTTTGCCCAAGGAAAGGGGCTCTTAGGCCACAATGTAAAGATCCCACAGACTGCTACGAAAAGGGTGTAGCACTGGGAATAACACAAACCATGATTCTCAAATCTGCAGGCCTCCTGTGTGCCTTAAATAGGAGGCTACACAGGTGAACTGTTGGAGCAAAGTCTGTTCCATGAACATTCCAAAAGAATTAATCAGCACAAAGTTACAAACTGAAGTGTAATTTAATTCTAACAAAATAAAAGATGCCTACACTAGCATGCTAGCATACAGAATGCAATGTCAATGGTTCCATGATTTTATTCCTGGATTTTGTCACTACAGATTTATTTTCAGCAATGAAAATTATATTTTTAGCCCTATTTCTAGCCCCAATGATTTGTGACATATGTCTTACTTGCACTTAAGACATTCATTACGAGAATTTCCAAACATAAAGGTCAGAATGATGTTTTCGTTCACCTACAAAGCTAAGGAAAATGGAGGTATTCTTTTTCTTTCTTCCTTTTTTCCCTCTCTTTCATCCTAGGGGCCCTGAATCTCAATGACAAACAAAAGCGACTGAAAAGTAGATGAAAGAAAAGGCTTTAAATTATTTGGTCTCTTCTACAAGTCATGCTATTTCTGCAGAGTCAGAAATGCTCTTTTTTTACTATTAAAAAGCATACCTATTAATCAGCCAAAGTTTTAGCAGCCAGAAAGTACTACAACTCAGAGACTGCAAAATATTATATCAAAAGCATGTTAGTCAAATAGAATTTTCATCAGCTAGTTGCTTTGCCCAAAATAAATATGTTGTTCAATAGACCACTAGAGGAAATCATTTTCTAAGCACAAGTGATGATGCAGCATGGCTCTGTGAAAGCCCTTTACTCTCTTACTGCACTACTGTATCTGCAGGCTCCACCAATGCAAACATGAAAATCAATGTAACAATTCAGTGTACAAGGCAAGGCCTACGGTGCTGCTAATGTCCCCTTGCTGGACACACACCTTAAGTCTCAGGGCTCTCAAGGGGTTTGCTGTGGAATAAAATTAGATTCCAACATCTGCCACCATTAAGGAAAAAATTCCATTTCCATCTCCCATATGAAAACACTATAACCAATGAACAGTAACTGAACCTTGATACCGTAATGGTTATTACCCAAATCAACTATTTTTTTTAAACAGTAAAATTAGCAAATTCTGGTCTCCTAATTATTTGAATGTTATCAGACTAAATGTTTGATAAAATTCCAATATGATTCACTTGGAAAAACTGCTGCTTATTTGAATACCCAGAATATAAAGTGTATTCATTTGTAGCTATTCACATTATGTTTAAAGCTTATCATCTTTTTAAAGTTTGCATTAGCCTGCTTTCCTAACCAAGCACAAAAAGTAGTCCACCTTCAGTTTTTACTTGCATATTTTATTCAGACATTTCTATCAGAGTTAAAAACAATTTCATATCTATTATTCATTGAGGAGACAATACATGTGAAATGGTGGAATCCACATGAGTTGGTTTCTTTTACTGAAAATACTTTGTGCATTAGTCACTGCAGAGCATGCTTTACCTTTTAAAATGGAAGGTATTTATGATACATAAATACGTGATAAATAAATCTCTCATCCATTTGGAGGACTGAACCTCTTGCTTAGCACATTATAAAACGCTACCATTTGGGTATAGTAGCTATATAATTTAAAAGCCCTTTTCCATGCATTGTAGCATGTGACCGTCTATGTTAAAAAAATCCTGGGTTCAAAAGTTAAAATTTCCCAATATTCTAGCACCAATGACACAGCATGGATCAGAGCTGGTTTCCTTTGACTCCTCCACCATGTACACCTACCTCCATTAGGTATGATAAAATCTGGATTCTGAAGGCTCTGTTTTGGTAAGAACCTTGTGTTCCATGAATGTCAATGAAGAAAGGAAAGCCCTCACTGTTTCTACTACCAATAAGTCCACTGTCCTTAATTCCTCTTCCCCAGAGCAGGGTATTACTTTAGTGTTGACGCTGCCCTGAACCCTGAAGACAGTCTAAAACAGGAGAAATGCAAAGAATTTGGAGTTGGCTCTGTTATATTTATTAGTTAAGAAACTCTCGTGTGTAAAATGAAGAAAATAATAGCTCACAAGGTTACTAAATTAATGTAGATAATCTATAATACATGATAGGGTCTAGCACAAAAAACGTAATGGTTAAGTCAACCCAGACAACCAGGGCAAGACACAGAAGCAGATGGAAGTAGATGAGCTGAGACAGAAGTGACTCTGGTTCTTCCTGCTTCACACACCCTTTGTCTTGAGGGGCTGCTGCCTCATTCTGGCAAGCCCTGACACACGTATCTGAGGCCTAAATGTATATACTTTAGAAGCACAAAATTTTGACCATTATAAAAGTCAGTCTGATTTGAAGATTGGTTTTTGTTTGTTTGTTTGTTTTTGTTTTTCTGTTTCCTTCACAAAACATAGCATGAGAACAGAAGCTAAGCAAATGGCCACTTTTCCTGATTAAGTCAGGTTTCCTTTACTAGTGATTCACACAGGTTTTGGATTGTCTCATTTTTTGAGCAATCACCTATCTTTTTGTACATATTTGCATCAACAGGGTAGTGCTAACATTAAACTGAACAACTAAGACAAAACTACAAAAATGCTCTATTAGGACCTTGGAATAAGTTAGAAGTTGAGAATAACTATCCAAGGGAATGAAGTTAATAGTTTGCTTGACTCCCATAGCCCACAGTTGGCCCCTTTAATTTTCTCTCAACCAGTAATGAATAACTAGCTAAAAGCTTTTGGAGTTCTGGAAAACACACCATCACAGAAGATGCCTGCAGTTGCTTACTGACATTGCTGAAATAGAGACCCACCAGGAGCTGTGTAGGACAGAGTACAAAGAGCAGGGATGTTTAAAATGGATTAGAACATCACCTACATGACATTATCAGCCGATTGCTGCTACTGTCTAAACAGCTCCAAAATCAGTAACTCAGCCCAGGACTGGGAGAACCTGAGGTACCATTTAAAAGGATGAAGTCAAAGATAGCAAAGGATCTAAGAATCACAGGGAACAGAAAGAAAAATGGTGGCGGGGTTGGGGGTAGATTGAATTGAATGACAGGTGACAGACAACTAAATACGGTTATTAAAAAGTTTTAATATTAATTTTTGTTTTAATGCTAACCTCTATTATAATAATACATGTCTAGTTTCTCCATTTCGGAGATTTGGGGAAAGTGGGAATGCAGTCTGATTATCACTGATGATTGGACAGGTCGGAACAAAAATGCAGAATCAGAAAGAAAGGCAAGATAATATATATTTAAATATGAGATCCTCATCATAATTAGACTAAATAGCCAAAACAAAGATGTGTGGGGTGGGCAAGTAGGTGGGGGGGGAGGGTAAAGTGAGACCAGGACATTTCTCTTTAATGCGTAGTCTTGGCATGTAAATGAAGACATCTGAAGAAGCACACAGGTTTAAAGCGGCTCTAACATTCTATCATAATTAGAAACATTTCAAGAGCCCTGTAATTTCCAATCAAAATTACAGTAATTTCCGATATACAAGCCATGATTCATGACAGAATTTTACATTCCATGAGAGATTACGGTGGCCTGATGTATGACACGCTGAGTACAGCACTAACATAAACAATTCAGTTTAATGTTTAAACAGCACTTGATGTTTAGAATCTCACAATAAAAGAAACATATTATTGTAGAAATTATCACTTTGACAGTGATTGAAGGGTAGGCAGGCATGTGGCCTATAAAGCTATAATTTTTACAGTCCACAGCTTGAGTTTAATCATTTTTATATAACATTTCCAAGATATCCCTTAAGTATTTCATCAAGCCTATAACTTAAACAAGAACAACATTCTTCTAAAGGAAAACTCCTGTCAGGTAACACTATAAATGTTGATAGAGTATAAGTTTAGGAAAATCTGAAAAGATACTATGTTACAAATATATCAATTATAAATACTCCCATAATTGTATATTTTATCAGAAATTGACAACAGCCAAGCTGTTTTATAAAAGAGGATTCATTAATTATAATGAAAATATACTTGTATAAAATTTCAAGTTGTTTAAATCTTACCTGGAGCCCCTATTTGCCTCTAAATCTCACCTTGATAGTGTTATCAAATCCTTTTTCAAAAGGGAAGAGAATTTAGTGTTCTTCTGGTCCTTTAAGAAGTATCTTTGGCTTTGGAGAAGGGTTTATAGGTAACTGTAAGTTTGTTCATGTAGATGATTCCACTTTTGATGAACACCAATTATTAATATATGACAATTATGCTGATAAAAGACTGTACTATCTATCCTTCTGTTATTTAATTTGGTAGAAATTTACAACTTTTCCAATTCAAGTCTATTCAGCTGTAATTCATCAGAGTTGGACAACTTGTAATTGTAATCAATCTGTGTGTCATGTAGACATCTATAGAAAATTAAAATCATTAATACGCAAAGGTGTGTGTGTGCGTGCCACTTTGTATTAGTAAGTGCACTTAATAGTTGCAGACAGCTGAACTTAGCGCTCACCACTATACCACCAATGCCACACTGGATGGCTGCACTAGAACAGAAGAAACTGTGTAAAGTTCTGTAGTATTTTCATAGGAAAAAAAAGTCAAGATCATCTAAGCAATAATGAAATAATAGTGATTCCGATGATTTATTCTACAACAACATACCAAACTGAGAAACTTACTATGCATTATGATATCCTTCTCAAAATAACTATTAACTGACTTGGATATTTACTATAAAATCCTTGGTCTGGGAAGTGGCTATTAGAAAAAACAAAACCAAGTGCCTATAACCTGAATTTGAATATTGTTTCATTTTAGAGCTCCAGAAATAATCCTAAACACAGAGCCTTCTCCGTGATGCAAGTTCATACTGAAAATACACATTCCTTTTAATGAAAATTCCACAGGCAACACAGATAAACATTCTCAATGCCTAACAGAGGCTCTTACCTGGCTTTTGGTTGCTGCAACCTTTGCAAATAGTGCTTGAGACACTTTAGCACGCTTCATTTCCTGCTGAATCTCATCATAAATGGAAGCATTAATGTTCATGGTATTGTTCTCTGGTTTCCCATTCCTCTCAGTGGCAATAGTAGCTGTTTTCACCTATAAAACATTTTTAACATGGCTGTCATTTTTCATTGGCTAAATTGTTTTGAAGCTTCTCAGGCTCAGCATCCAAACTGGACACTGTTGCTCCTTTTATGATCGAGGTGATCAACAGTGCAGTCATTCAACAATAGTTATTGCCCTGAGATCAGATTGCTTAAGTTAAGGAAGTCATATTGTCACAGGTGATTGCATCTGTAATACGACAGCAAGTGCCAGCTGACAACCAGGAATTATAATGCCATAAAGTAAGTTTTCTGGAAAACGAAATAGTTTCAAAGACTTGAAAACCCTAAACTAATTGTCTCCAATTACCTTCCATTGCAATCCTAACAAAGGAAATTCACAATTAAAATCATAATGCACAGTGCCGTAGCTTCACTGGTTGCCCGGTGCCTAACAGACAATTGTATCACTAATAGCTATTACATAGTATGGCCTTTTTAATTTTAGACTATTTTTATGCATCTTCCTCTTATGTTTCATTTTAAAAATCTTCCATAACAAAGCCATTTGCAGAACTGCATATTTAAATCTTCTATCCATCCATGAAGCAGGTAGAGTGCCTTGCTTAATTATCATAAAGGCTGGTTGCATTTTACATGTGCATGTCCAAGCTGTTCTGTATAATTATTTCATCTTTTCCTGGCACCCCGTATATAACTATTTCCTTTTGACTTGTCAAACCAGACAGTAAGATAATGTTTCACAATATTTAAGAAAATATTCCTGTGTCATAAAATAATCAGTGACTTTACTAATATATTCAAAAAAGTACAATCTGAGTGAAAAATCATATCAATGTCTTTGGTAATAGTGATAAGCAGATATCTGCAGGAAAATACCACAAAATTTTAGGGGAGAAATTCAAATCTCAACTTCAAAATTTACTATTATTCATTTTAAAAACTCCAAATTTATTTTTTATTATGCAATAGTATGAACTAGCCTGAAAAATTTACATAAAAATCATGTAGCTGATTTTTTACTGGGAAATTGATGAAAATATAAATGAAAAATTACTACAGATACAAAACCATGTTTCTTCTAGCAAACTGATCCTTTAAGGGACTCCTTTCTTTGGGTACTTTACACAACCCAGGTTTCTATCCTCTAGAAACTTATCATCCTGGACAATTTCTCACATAAACCATGAAAACAGAAAATGAAGTACACCGCAGAATAAACAAATGATTTTTTTGGCTTTAATGATACAGCCTTTGAGTCAAGTTGCAGGTCTTTAAGATTTATTTTACTCTGTTCCTAAAATATTTGATGATTCAATTCTCTGTACTTAAAGCATAAATAGGAGTCCCCTTTGAAATGTGCCTGCTGAATACTAATTTCTAGCCAATTAGCAAAATAATTCGCCTCTTGCTTATCTTGAGAAAGTAGGTAGATGCTTCCACCATGATATTACCTTCCAAGCATGGAAAATATAATGCTGGGAAATAGTCGGCCCGCAGGCCTGAAGAGGACATAGCAGGTAAGGCAGGACAGGTGACCAGAGGTTGGGCCTCCTCTCCGGAGTTCTCCTTCTAGCTTTGTGACTCTAGTAAGCAAGGGCACTCATAGAGATATATTAATGACTGGAGGCCACTAGAATACATACAGGGCTTTGAAGCAATAATCTGCTAAACACCACTTTAAGAGCCAGAAGAGTGAACACATTACCATAAATTGCCTACAAAGTTGCTTTGGTGAGACTGGAAACTTTGCTCTGGGGTGGTCTTGCTTTGAGGCAGAAGGACAGATTTGATCACCCCATGGGGTCCTTTTTAATACCTATTTTTTTTCTCACTGCTTAAATGAAAGAGAAAAGAAAAGCCATTTCAATCGCTTTGAAAATTGAATGTTATGGAAATGGGGGCACCAAGTCCAGGGCACTGAAGAAACAGATCCTTGGTAGCAATCTGCTAAGCAATAGTTAAAAGAACAAGCTTTGGAAAGTTGGTGTTTCAATCTGTCTTTAAAATAATTTTCATTCTTTTGTAAAAATGATGTTTAAGAATTTATCTTTGAGATGGGCTATAATCATTTGTTTCAACCCTGTGACTTTGTTTCTAAAAACTTCTTTGGTTAATTTTTCTGTATTATTATGAAGCAATTACAATCAAAAAGCAAGAATTCTAAATTATCTTAAAAAATGACTTCCTAGTAGCCAACACAATCAGAACAAAAATGAAAAAGAAGTATACAAAAAAAATTTTCTTTAAAAAAAAAAAAAAAGAATGTGAGGGTAAAACTTTAACAATTACAAAGTTAAAAAGTATCTCTGTATTACTCATTTAAAAAATATTTAGAAAAGCTCTTCTTTACCATCTTCTTGGCCCAGATATGCATCTTATCATAGATAAGCTATTAGAATTCTAGAATCACATTTTTTTCCCCTAAACACAAGCCATTGCTTAAGGGAAACTGACTTGGACAGCTTTTCAAAAATATGAAAGCTGAATTTTTCCCCAGGTAAAAATGGAAACAAAAATCTTTTATACCTCATTCTACTAAGTACTATTTTAGCTTAGTACAAAAAAAATCTTCTTTAATCCTGGTTTAGCTTTTAATATTATATCACACATTAAAATTCATAAAGTAGTTCATTCCAGGCAAAACAAACTACTGTTCAGCTCTTCTCCGCAAATAGCACAGGAGGTAAAATAAATGCAGTTGCTTTCAGAATAGCTTTTATCAAGGTAGGGTGTACTACTCCATTATTAAGGCGGCGCCGGGGAAGTAGTTAAGAATTGGAGCTTCTACTACTTACCCTCCCATGTGGGGAAAGGGTGCAGTACTAGGGTCTTTTAATTTTACTAAAATTGTGCAACAGAACACACATTTTTCCATGAAAACTCTATTTGGCTTCTTCATGGATTGCTAAGTACATCAAATCATACTTTTAGATTACACAAAATGAACTCTACTTTGGCCTTGACTGGTGAATGCACTACTCTGATGCATGAGGAACTGCCTGCAAGCACAGTGCTTTTATACAAACAAAATTAAAGTGTTACGCAGTTTTAATAACTGTGATAACAAACACCGACACTTATTAGTTATTTATTACATGCCAGACATTGTATTAATGTCCATTAACTTCTTAACATGCATAAGAGCCCCAAGGAGGTATTATGATCGCCTCATTTTAAAACTGAGGAAACTTAAAACAAACAGGTTAAACAATTTGTTGGTGGGGCAATGCTGAGATCTAAACTCAACTAGAAACCACAAAGTTATTTAGAGTTCATGACATTACATGGGCCTTCTTTACTTGAAAAAATTCGTAACTTTTAAAACACGCTGGACTTGCTTTTTGGTGGCCCTTTGATAAATCTAGTTCATTAATGTCTAATTTTTAATAGCTATTGACTTTTAATATTAAAATCTAATCTGATTTTACTTTTTAGGATATAAAAATTATAAATGTTTTTAATGAAAATAAGAAATGTCCTATTCTATGGATGCTTATTGGTAAGGGAAATATTTCCCACTTTCAAACTTTAATATATTAACACTGTCTTTAGCACCATGGTTTAATATTTTTAGATATTTCTTTCTTTCCAGGAACAGTATTAAATATTTTCCAAATCTAGACTTTAATGAAAGTCTTCCAGCTTTTAAAAGATGACAATTAATGGGAAGCAGTTTATAAGCACATAAGCAACATCTTAAAAAAGGGATTCATAATAAATAAATTTTTTACCAAGTGTTAAGTTCCTTCCTGTAACTGAACCTGAAATCAAGATGAATCTACGTTCCATTATATCGCAGAGGGATTTGTTGTAAAGAGACAGAACAGTGCAACTACCAGATTAATCATATACTCTTTATATTAACTTCATAAATTTTCTAAAGTATTGTTAAAAAATATGACATTTTTAGTAGAAACTAAAGAATTAGATAAAAAGATGTAAAAAAAAATGAAGAAAAAAGACGTGTAATTCATGTAAAAGCTATAACTTAATAATTATATGCTTTCGAACAGTCTTCATGGAAATAAACTGCTAAATTAATTTAACTCCAAAAGTCACACACAGTAAAATGCACAAATAATAAAAAAAAACACACACATACCCCTAAGGTAGAAATCATCACTTAAAATTCTGTAAAATATATAATTCTCAGAAAATAATCATGAATTATTATTATTGACAAAATTCCTTTAATAAACTCAACAGGAAAACTTTCAAAACTTATAGTGAAAAGAAACCTTAAGACCAAGGAGCTTGGGAGGCCTGGGTTCTTCCAGATATTTTTCATTAGACCAAAGTTTAAAAGGGGCTGTTTTCCCCGCAATCCCAGAAATTCCACTGTCCAGTCTTCCATAGATCATTTGTCAAACAAGTGATTTCATGAGGACAATGCTCTAGCACACACTCCTCTTCCCATTCTAACAATAAAACCTTCCATCCTCTATGACAGACTTGATCTCCAAGTTTCACTTTTCCCTTCCTAAAATAAGTTTGCTTATATTCTGAGGAGGTGGCTTGAAGTAGTGGAAGGAGCAAGAGGCTTAAAACAGGATTGGAAAACTCTGAATAAACCTTAAACTTGTTTTTCTCATTTTTCTCCTAGGGAACGGTTGGTTGAAGATTCAATGAATTAATGCATTCAGCTGCTTTCAGAATAGCTTTTATCAAGTCAGGGTGTGAATCATTATCAGGTGCAAAATAATCTTATTTGTTGAATTAGAGCATGTAAGTTGTGAAAACACGCATGCAGCAACCAGGTCTGGCTCAGAGCCTATAGCCCCAGGCAGAGGACCAAGCACCGGGCATAACTGCCTTTACCGGAGCACAAGGGACACCTCTGCGTAGGAGGCATCTCACCTGGACTGGGCCATCAAGGAGCTTTCGTGTTTCCTGAGGCTGGGTGTCCCCAAGTGGGGCCTGACTAGCCAGAGAAGTTCTTTCTTGAAGATGACTTATAATCTAGGTCCTTGTTATGGTATGCCCCAGGGGCACTCCAAAATCATATTCTGTTATGTTTTACACTCTATAAAGAGCTGGAAGAGAATCCAGTTTCCTAGGCCTTAGGGGGACTGGGTCTTCTGTGACCACTAAAGGCCTCTGCTTTTAACATGTGGTTCTTTAGAAAGAAATCAGGTTTCAGGTGCAAACCAAGCCCAAGATTTGTCTCAAAATAGGTTTCAAATCTCTTCATTTTGGGAGAAATGAAATGTATACTGATTTCTCATGGACTCCTCTTTGGCAAAATGTAACATTTAAAAAGACAAAATTTTGCAGTCTGTGTGTCTGTGGTTTTCTCCAGTTTTCCTTCATTTTAACTCATTTTTCATATGCATACTGGTTCCAGTTTAAGCATTATTTCATTATTTCAACTGTTTAAGCATTATTTCATTATTTCAACTGCTACAAGACAGTATTAATTCAACTGCTCTGTAACATGTTTTTCCAAATCCAAAGTATTCATTTTGCATTGACAATACCTTCAGTACGTTAAGAATTTCTTAAAATTTAATTCATTGATTCATGGTTAAAGGAAAGAATGTGAATAAACTGGTAGTGATCTCTATTATATATAAATAATTTAAAGATTTATATTATAGCAGCAAAATAAAATTACATACACACTTATCAGTTAATCATTTTGGTGTCTGGTTAGATGGCCAGTAATACTGCATTAATAGAAATGTTTTCTTTGAAAGAGTTTCCCACTAAGAATCTACATAGTGTATATACTGTATATGTTCATCATTGGCTGAATACCCTGGCTATGGGCTTGGTCTCAACTCCTCTTCAGAACAAATACAGCTAAGGGTAGCTCAACCAGTTAATAATTTGGGAAAAATAAAACATATTTTCCATCCCAGCTTATCAGCAGATAAAGCCTTTAAGCATACATATAGGAAAGTTATCCAATAGTATCTTAACAGCATATGAAAAGAAATATCACTTAGTAAGAACTGGTGTAACTTTAGCTCACTAAAAAACTTGATGAGTAACAATACCAAAATCACATTTGGAAAATAAATAAAACCATTAGAGTCTTAAAAAAATTAGAAAACAAAAGCTGTATTAAGGAACCACAAAGTCATATATCTGGCTATTTTTTTTTTTTTAAAGCAGCTCAATGTTGAATGAAGTTCATACTGGTCTTAAGTAAGCCATTCTTTTATTGGTATAGCAGATTAAGTGGTAAGTAAAGTAATTCTCTGCTCAGAGTTCTGTCTGTGATGACTTCCAGAGCAAAGTTAACAGTTAACTGATAAAGGTGTGTGTATTAACACTAAACACCACAGGAAAAGTACTAAACTAAATTACTTTATTTCATTTTGTACATTTTTTCTCTTTAATCATTCCTAGAAGTCATAGTTTATCTTTTCTCTTTAACCATTCTTAGAAGTCATATTTTTTATACATAAAGAATTCCTCATTCTTTATCTTAGGGAATATTTTAGAGAAGCCTTTACAGATCAAATTCCATAACTGTGTGTGTGTGGGCAGGTGGGTGTGTACGTATGTATACAGATGCCATGCTTTTCTCCTAAAGAAGCATGACTTTTTAAATACACAATTATAGCAATGCTTTCCTTATAGTCTGTTCCTATAGGCATCAAGACCAGATTGATTTTCATTAAATAAAATAGCAAAAATGGATTTTTGTGACATTTCTAAAAAATAATCGTTTCAGAACCTTATGATAAGCAGTTTAAAGTGGCTAAATATTATATTTATTTCTTATTTATGGAGTATCTGTAGCACTTTCATTCTTTAGTGTTAGATGGGTTTTTTCTAGATTTCTATACATGAAAATGTACGATTACTTTCTACTATTGATGAAAATAAAGTAACATCAAGACACAATTTCACTGTGACATTGTCATACAAATATTTGAACTTTTTCTTCTATGTTCAATTTTTATCCAATTTTAGCTGACCTTATTTTTAAGAACTGTAAATGTCACAAGCTAAACATATAAGAAAATATATTTGCTTGTGGTTTTGAGTCTAATACACTAACTAGCAAACTTTTATCTAATGGTTTGTAATGCAAATTGAATTACTGAATTTTAACAGTTATGAGGTTACTTTTTAAACTTAGTTTAAAAAAACAACAATACAGAGTCACATACCCAAAGTTACCTGGAAGGCGACTTTCTTTCCTAAAAAGTACAAAAATTTAAAGAAAGAGAAAATGTGCCCATATCTTGCAATATGGATAGAATTCCTTATCAGCTCCATTTAAAGTTGCCTTCAAGGATTTTATTAAACTTAATTATGAAAGATTACAAACGAGATGGTGTGTAATTGGTACCAGCTGCAGTTCGTATTGGAAAGTATAAATACAAATGAAATTACTTATTTTTATTTATTTACTATTCAAACGGCGATTCTAAAACTAGTTGGGAAAAAACCGACTTTATTCTTTTTCTACTGAGTTTAAAATACTTCTTAATAACAATAGTAGAGACAAATATCCCATTTAAAGACTACTTTCACCACCAAATAACCCAAAGAAAGAAGGAACACAAAGCAATTTTCTTCTCTCTAATTAGTAGCTTATTGTTTTTATATCAGAATTAATGATTTGGGACCAAATTCTCCTCAAGCAACTCTATGAATTTAAAAACATCTAAATCTATGTATCTATCTATCTAATTTCTTACTGAGATTCTTCCTCAAGCATTAAAAAAAAAAAGAAAAGAAAAAAAGAAAAAAGAAAAACAAAGGCAAAGAGGAAAGGGAGACTGCACCTGGGGAGGGCGGCTGGGCGGTGTGCTTATCAGTGGGGCAGGACCCATGGCTGAAGCAGCATTCAAGCTCCTTTCCCTTTCGTCCTGGTATATTCGGTCTCTTTCCGCTTCTGGTAACTGCAAGAAATTCTGCATAGCCCGAAGGTTTACCAGCAAAGACTGGGATGCAGTCTTGGGATCCTCTTCCTTTCGGAGGATTTCTGAAAGCAAGCCCTGCAGGAAATGAAAGGCACAGGGTGAGCCTGCTCCCCTGCTTTGCCCAGCCAGCGGTGATCCTTCCCTTTTCTTTTCCACTCTGTTTAGAAAATGAACAGTCAGAGGCATTAATTCTGCATAGGAATATATTAGTTACAATTGAAGTGGTAGAGAAGAGAGCCTCAATTGTATTCTTAATTTTATTAAGCATCTGCTTTACATATAACATAAACTGAAACTGCCTAATTGGTCTCCTTCCTTTGAGTAGCTTAACTTGCCATGAAATCTTTCACAGAAAGACGATCCAGGGAAGTTAAGAATAAATGAAATCCTCATAATGCAACAGCATTGAACTGTATAGTTCTCAAGCTGCCTAGACAAAGGCAGTGGAATGCCTACAGCCCAATATGTAAAGATACAAAGCCATTTCTAGAGAAGTAGAACTTTCAAAGAAAATACCAGAAAATGAATTTTAACATATTAGAACAAAGATTATTACTAAATCATCACCTAAGGTTTATGTTGTATTTTCACAGGCAATGTTTAAAATTATTCCTTATACTTCAACTTATCAAAGTACATGACACCACATGACCCTTTCAATTTACCAATTACAGAGAACCTCACTGACTATCACAAATGATTCTAAATACTATCTTGCTGTATTATACCGTTAGTTAATGGGTTTAAATTTTGAACTTTAAAAACCATAGATAAGATTTGAAATACATTAACTACTTTTCAACATTGCGAAAATCCATCATAGCATGCCAAGAAAAGAATATCAAATTCTGTAATTATCAAATTTCTTAGGGAATAAAAATTGTTATTAGTGATAGAAGAAATTAATAAACCATTAGAAAACTCTTAAGGTGTCTTCCCCCACCCCCACAGCAGAACATCAATTTTCAACTATTGTTTTTAACTTTTGGAAGAACTCTTTCAAAAATAGGTGGTTTTCCCTATTGTGTTTAAGACATAATATGAAACACAAGTATGGGAAAAATTTCTATTTTATAAGGGCTAAGCAGCCCTTCTCTCTTTAATCTTGTACATGAAATAACGCTTAGAATAGCAAGAGATATTTCATGTCTTCACTTAGCCAGAATATCAGCTTCAGAATAAAATTTTGTCAAGATTTCTATATAAATTGCAAATCTACTTTCCAATATCCTGCAGAAATGGTTAAAGGTATATTGGGGAAAGGAAGGTAAGTTGTCATGTTCAACAATGGAGCCCCAAGGTTAAAACATTTCTGTTCTTTTCATGGTTTGTTAGAAGTGCAAACCTGGTTTTGTTCCCAAATTTAAGGATAATATACCATACTGCCTAAATGTAGCAGTTAGGTGCAGACAATACAAAAATACTGATACTTTTTAAGTGATTTACAAGCCGGTATTTTAAAAAGCTTTTAACAGGTGCAGAAGGCTTAAGAGTCCATTTTAAAGTTGTCTCTCACTTAGTCTCTTACAGGTAAAGCCTAAGAATTGGACCTGAACTTTCGGTTTTACCCTAAGAAATGTGACTGAAGTATGAAGGGCGCATGTCCTTTTACTTAGGATACTAACGAGTAATGCTGCAACTGTGTCTACACAAGCGCAAAACATCGAGTCAATTTAACTAAAATTCAGTCAAACAGGCAGTCAATCATCCAGCTATTTAATTTGCACAAGGCCAACTAATTAGATTGACTGCTTTTGATGTGTCATACTGAAAGTAAAACATTCAGGTCTCAAAAAAAAAAAGTTTGAAAATGGGTGTAAAAAATAACCTTTGCTCTTTACGCCTCTCCACCAAATGCTATGTCTTAAAAAATGTGCTTGACAAAGCAATATATTATCAACTACACTAAAATGGATACATGCAAACATCAGTATAAACACAATATGCTACAAATTCCTTGAGTATAATAATCTAATATTCACTTTCATCATCCCAGCACAATGCCTATCACATAAATGCTTGATAAATATTCACTAAATGGATTGATCATGTGTATGCAGACCACAATGGAAAAAAAGTCACAAATAGGTGATAGAACTTAAGAACAAGATGTGCTACCCATGAGTGAATTCTAGTGGTAGTTATTAGCAATCATTTGGGCCTACAGTGAAAAGTTCTGTGGCATTTTGTTTATCCTAATTGTCTAATAATTAAAAAAATTAGATTAGGGCAAAAGATAGTTATAAATATTTAGGATGTTATTTGGGAAACTTGAAATTAGATATTTAAAAATCCCAAATAACAAAGTAATATATCACATATTTCTATCAAAAATATTTCCTGAGGCAGCAGAGATCTATAGTGAGAAAATCAAATACAGGAAAACATACAAAATAATACTCTTTCTCAAGTCTTGCTAGCATAAGACTAAATCATTTCCGTATGGCTTAGACTGGAAGATAGCATACTACTTGGGAGAAAATTTTAAATGTTCTCTATCTATATTTTGATGTTAGTGTGACTTCCTATTTGAGCTTACAAGCGTTTTTAGGGGCAAAGCATTTTACTTCCACTTACATTAATTATTCTACTGGAACAAAGTTTTTTGTTTGCCAGAAATATGTGGAAGGTGTAAAGTGATGTTTCAAACTCTCAAACACTCAAGAGCCAATGTAGTATTTGGCTTAAAGAAGCCAGTGTAGATAGTCTCAGGTGTTTTAGAAACCTTCTGGGGTTTTTTTTTTTTTTTTTTTTTTGGCCCAGAGCTTTCAATGAGGGGAGTGCCCCCTGGTGGAAATGCTTAAAAATATTGTCAGAAAACATTTTTATTAGTTATAATTACTAAAATAATAATAATAATGTCACTTTAGAATAATTTTGGATGCAAAATAACTGTGATCAGATCCTAGATATGGGAATGCATGTTTTGGTCCTGTTCAGGTTGTTGTTACTTAAATAGCTGCATTCTTATTTACATGCTGAATTCAAGATATATGTGGTCACCATCTCCTATTTCCTACAGTTGAAGATATAGTATAGACTTGCCAAGGTCATTTGTAGTAACGCCTCACACAGTGGACAATAAGAGTGACCTTTTACCAAAAATGCTTCACGCTAAAAAACAGTATACCAAGGCCATCAGGTACCTTATTTATGTCATAGAATATGTGAAACATCAGGACAAAAATATGTCATCAGTAACATGAATCAATGGTGCTCAACAAATTTAAACTAAATAAAATCATTAGTCATTCTTGTGTCTGAAAAGAACCTGAGAACTTGTAATGTTACGTAGGAAGTAGGAAGTTACCAGTACCTCATAAATATTAATTTATTGAAAACGAGAAGCTGCCTTTCACTAGGACTTCACATCTTACCAATAATTAGACGTGTGCTATATATATGAAAAGATAAAATTATTTTGCATTGTCATTACATAGTGGTTAAGTGACAGTTCTATTTTTTTTTCAACTGAAGAATAAATTTACTGCTGAATTCCTAAACCTGTTTTTACATTCCAAAAACAGTTTACAAGTTATTATAAGTAAAATTCATTAGTAATTGTAAAAGAAAGAAAAAAACCTCCAACAAATATTATCAGTATTTCCAAAAGCTAATTATGAATTCTTTAAAACAGCAGATAAGTGAAAGAGACTGCCAATCTGAACAAAAAGACTGTCTGGCCTCCCGTTTGTCTCCTCTTTGAACATAATCAGTGATTCAAATAGATTTTATCAGCTTCATGGAACTTCAAAGCCCTCAAAAAGAAAATATGATTTGATGTAACCTCCCTCTTAAAAAGAAAATACATAGAATATTCTTCAAGGCTACCTGCCTCTGTTGTTTGGTGAATTTTTAATCACATGTCCAGGTGAAAGACAATTTTCAAACTCCACCTACTACCTTGGACTCATGCCAAGTAAGTTGTAAGTAGACACATTTATCTCTTGTCCTTTGGCAGGCAAACCAGAGAGCTGTCATGTTGGGGTAATAGCAACTTTTTACCTTTTATTCAATAGAGATATGGATAGTGGACTTTTTCAAAATTATACTGTGAAGAATTATAAAAACATAGTAGCAATTTCTGTTATACTTAAGCAGGCAAATTTCTCTCCACCACATAATTTACAGAACTCAAATTCAATAAAACATTACATGATGGTCCATTACTGTTATCAGTTTTGAATAATCCATCTTCATTCTTTATTTTACTGGAAATTAAAGTATACCAAAGACAAGGGGAGGGAGAAGAAAAAGGGAGTAAAGGCCACAGAGTAGGATTAGAGTTAAACTCTACGTTTTATTCTTTTAAAAATTAAAGGATATTAAAGAATGTATTTGAATGTAACAGAACCTTTAAATAGAAATAAGATAGAAAAGTGAATTGAAAAGCATAAATCTAGAGGCTTTGGCAACTACTTTTAGCCATAGGTTTCCATTAAAAAGACATCAAGTAGGCATAGCTGAATGAATGACATATGCTAAAAGCTGGTATATTCAACAGCAATTAAAGAACATATGCCCATCAATTCAGAAGGGGAAAAATTCCTTAAAACAAGTAATTATATAAATTCACCATAAATTTTCAGAAAAGGTAGACTTAAAAAAAATAGTCATATGTGAAACTCATAAGAGAGGGTCATGTGTTAATGTAGAGGACTCTATTAAGATGATGAGAAAATTCTCAAGAGTTAAAACATAAGACCCAGGATTTTAAAGTTATACAGAGCTGTCAATGACTAAAAGAATTCTCAATTCATAACAGTGTTATCTATCCTATTAATGTTTTAATGTGACCTTACCATATAACTTTGCATTTGTATGTATATATTTAACATTATTTTTTTTAAACTTGGAATTGCACATTGTACTAGGTGCACACAAATGTGTGATGTGTGATTGAACTCTGCAGAGCTCCTTGCCTATACATATGCATTAGCATGTGTATTTTCGTACCCCACACTCACACCATATCCTGACTCTGCACCTGCTTTTATTGAAATGCATACACTTTGAAATAAACACACTACATGCAGTCGTTCGAATGCATAATCATTAAAAAATAAATGCAGCTGTGTATGTATGTATGTGGTTTTTACGAATGACCAATGAAAATACATTCATGCCTACATGTGCAAAAGCTAGTTCTCAAGGAATTAATATTTAAATATACGTATAAATTTCCTCTTAAGTCAAACAGCTTTAAATATGGCCCTACATCTACTTTGACTGAAAAGTACCAATTATCAATATAAAGCTTTAAAACCCCTTCATAATCCAGGGCACCAAATAATTTTTTTGTAACAACTTTTTTCTAAATTGGCTATTATTAATAAGGAGGTATCTATAATCAAGCTGTACAAGGTTTTCATTCTCTCACCCTCAGAAAAATTAAGTCACTGTTTTTGATATTAACCACAGAGATGATTACCTTTTCAAAGAGATTAATATGGTATAAAAGAGAAAATTTTGCCTTTCTTCTAGTAACAAATCCTGTAGCTACTGTGGAATTTGTCCTTTTAAGGACCAAAACCAAAACAAATGGCCAACTGCTCATAATGATGTTACAGCTACTGGCTGTACCCAAGAGAAGAAAAGCTGTAATGATGGGTGGCAACTTTATCCTCATTTCTCCGAGTTCTACCCTCTTAGCATTCTTCACTATATAAAGGACACTTACTTAGTGCTTTAAGAAATAACTGCTCAATTTTTAAAACACTTACCAGTAACTGTATATATACATATCATTTGTGTCTATGTCATGATGTCTTTGTGGGCTTTTAACTCAATTCAAAAAGCATTATTGAACTCTTATGCAGAGACTTTTTTTTTTTTGACTAGGAGGGGGAATTATTAGTAGTTACTATATTTACTAAAATAAAGAATGCTACCAGAAACAGGAATACCTAGAGGGTTGACTTTTGAGTCATTCATTTTCAATAATTATCCCCCAACTGAATACAGGTGTCATATTAAATGTACCAGCTAATAATGAACACTTTTTTTAAGCTGTAAAGATATGGAACTAGGTAAAACCATATAATTTTAACTTGAGACATAGCCTTGTGCAACTGCCCTTTTAAAAACAGGCAAACGTACAAAAAACAGATGAATCAACTGAAAACAAACACTGAATTAAAGGCTTTGTCAGGTCTCCTACTCCCAATCTAGTTAAGACAAGCCAAAAATAAGTCACAGCTGGGATTCTCCTAGGTATGGAAACTCTGCCAACTAGGAATTAATACTAGATTATTTCTGTACCAGAATTTTATTCTTTTAATCATGTAATAAACAAAATAACTTAAATATGAGAGGAAAATGTGAGTCAGGACCAAAAACAAGATAAACTGACAAAAGAAAGAACAGTGGTAAAACAAAAAAGTTGAAAAGACATAATGTCCTCATTCTAATCCAAGTTATGGTTTTTTTTATTTTTGGTGTACCTGAGCCAAAATTAAATACCATATATATCATGTATCACACTAGTTTCCAAACAAAGAAAAAAATTCTCATTCACAGTTCAACAGAGTCAATTTGTTTAGGGTTTCTCAAATACTTTATCTTATGACCTCTCATATATATCACTTTTTCTCCATGACTCTCTTAAACATCTTCCATGCTGATAGATAATATCGTCACAGGAATTGGCCCAGGAGGACAAAGGTGTGCACATTGGGTGTATAACTGGATAGTAAGATCTCTAAAAATGGGTCTGCAAACTAAGGCCTGCCAGCCACACTTACTCCATGGCCTGTTTTGTAAATAGTTTTACTGAAATACTACCATACCCACTGCCATTCATTTACTGTCTATGGCTGCTTTATTACTCCACAGTGCGACAGAGATTTTATGTGCTTCAAAACTTAAAATATTTACTATCTGGTCAATAACAGAATAAAGTTTGTTGATGCCTGGTCTAGAGAATGAAGTTTGGAAGACAATAACATGAGAGAGAGCACAAAGCTTAGAAGCATATTAATGAGTCATATAATCTTTTTCCAAAATGGCTGCTTAGAATTAAGTGGATTATTGCTCCCAAGGTATCAAAGACAACAACAACGATGTAGAACTTTAACAGGGAACATTTATATACTTAAGTCTGATATCAGTAGAACATGAGCCTTAACCAAGTCATGAAACTCTTCTTAACCATCTACTACAAACAGTTTATGATTCCATTACATAAAAGCATAGGTAATGCCAGTTTAAAATATGTTTGACATTTAATTCGTCTCTCAAAGCCCCTGAATTGGGAACAATCTGCACATAGGTTTCCCTTGTTTCAGAAATATCTCATAGGAAAAGGAGTGATAAAATTGAGGCACTGCCAGGAATAGGTAATATGATCACATCAAGAGAGAGAGAAAATGTTAGTACAGTAAAAGAATAAACTTTGGTTATAGATGGAACTAAAGAAAGAAAAGAGGAGACAGCACAGAACCATTTATGAAACACAACTGACCTGAGTTCTGTTAAAAGCCACACGTGCAAATACTGCCTGGGAGATTCCTGCTCGTTTCAGTTCATCGCGTACCCACTGGTAGATTTCGGAAGACACCTCTGTGTTGGTTGAAACCTGCTGCTCCAAAGGCTTATTCATAGATCTACTGACAGGGGGAGGGTGGTTCAAGTACTGTTGGTTTAAGGACTGCTGGGCTAAAAGTCTATTCACTGCATACTGCTGGTTCAGCAGCTGAGCCATCACCAGCTGCTGGTTGACCAATTGAGGACTGATAGGCGTTGATACGAGCCCAGGGTGCAGGTTTGGAAGAGGGGTCCGGACAGAGGGCTGACTGCCATGGGATAGCTGTGCAGGGGATGGTGGCTGCTCGGCTGTGTTCCCTGGAACCGGTTGCTGGCCAAAATTGACATGATTGGCGCCTTGCTGGGATAGCTCAGAAAGACTATCCATTTCAACTAAAGTGGACAAAAAGTGAAATCACATTCAGCCAACAATGACTGGCATTGATAAAGATTTCTAATCACTTCCTAAATTTAAAAAAGGGGAGGCTCAGGGCGTAAGTTGCAACTTACCAGGTTGTGTTTTTGCTCTCCTTTTCTGAAAAATTCTATAAACTTTGGAAGTGGGACAGCCCTTCTAATCTCATTTTTAAAATGTGGTTTAGATTTAAGGCATAAAATCAATTATACCAAATTCTTTCCAACTAGTTGTTCACTCTCACTTATTATCCCAAGAAGGTTTATAAGCAACAATGTTTTAAAATGGCTTCTAAAAGAATGTCATTTGCTTAATGACGACTATAAACAGTGAGCTAAGAAAATAAGCTTATAATAAGCAACTAAAAAATGTACAAATATATTCTCATGATATTCATTACCTTTATACTCTAGGAAAAAGCATGACATAAAATGTTACCTACTTTCAATTTTTACCTAGCAGTGAATAAAAGGAGTCAATGTAATAAATAAAAGTGGGTACAATGACCGTAATAAAGGAATGTATATTGAACACTGTGCTGAATATCTTACATGCCTTGTTTCACTGTTTCATTTTAATTCTAACCATCATGGGTGGTAGGTATATCTGGAAATACTTTTTAGAATAAAGCAAGTGATGTATTGTGTATCAAGCCAGCATAATACCCAGCGTTGCTAAGATCCAAATGTTTTTTCTTCAGGAAGCTATGACCATCACCAGATGCAAAAGACAATCTTGCAGGGAATCGTTCTGGTACAATGGTGATGCTGTCATGATTTTGCAATTTATTCCCACCTACCCGGGATGAATGCTTCTCCCTTGGCTAGGTCCCTCAAAAGGATTGGCTGGGCGTCATCTCTAAGTGTGTAAATGCTTTGCTGTATGAGGAGGAGACTGGTTTGATGTTCTTGCCTGGAAAGGCTGAGCATGAAGCTGTACGTAAATAAGACTTTCCAAACTGTACACCAACTTCCCACGTATAGACTCTAGTTTGATTTTAATCATCAATTCTCTTTTCATTAAATATGCAGGTTTTATATTTAGAGGAACTTTATCATAGTGCTATAGCTCCTGATACATGAAAAATATAACTAAGAATTGGGGAAGAAACCTTCAATTTCTACCAGTGCTATCAGCCCAAGTGGGCCATTCACAGAGAATAGTAATTCAAGCAATTATTCCAAAAATGATACATTGTCTTCATTACAGCCCTAAGCTATAAAAGGCAAAGAATCCATTTTGGTAGACAAATGGTTTCTCTTCAAATATTAAGAGCTAAAACATGCTCAACATTTGCGTTTTCTTATTTCTTAAAGTTTTTTAGAAAAAATTAAATGAATGTAAAGGAATAAACAAATAGATTTAAAACAGGACATAATGTGCATTCCTATATTACCTTAAAATATATTTTTGGAGGGTACAAGTATGTGAAGGAGAATATTAATAAAAATTAAAACATTAACCTTAATCACAGTGTTTGCTTTTGAGAACATTAACAGACTCAACAGGGAGAAAATGCCATAATCTAAATACTTAGGTACCATACACAACTTTTATCTGTCATTTTACACTGCAGATTTTACTGTACTTCTTGCATAATAAATATTCACTTAAAGTTATGTGTTAAGAGAGGATGCTATCTTGGAATTAAAAGTTTAGAAATGAAACAATGATTGTTCTGGTATGATGGTAAAGCCATATGCTTACCAAAGTGCCCATCCACGGAAGCTGGGGGTTAGAGGGATAAAAATCACTTGATCTCTATTGTGGAAACTACAAATATAGTTTAATTCAAGAAGTTTAATTTCCTTAAAAATTGATTATAAAAATAGGCACTTTCTCATTCCCTCAGACAAAAGCAAAAAACCTAAAAGCAGACTTATCACTGAGAGAAATCACAGCTAATATTAGTTATTCAAGGCCTGGTTAGGTCTTCACTGAGATGTTAAAAAATGACAGCTCCCCTCCTCACGCCTCGATTTCCTGCCATGTCTGACAACCAAGTCAGTTTGGCTGATTTAAACACAAACATTTATTGAATTTAATTATCTCATTATACTCATACCCACTTCCCACCCCCAAAGAAACATTCTAAATTGATCTCTAATTGGGCAATCAAAAGACCTGGCTTTAGATGTGACTTTGATAAACTCCCAAATGACATGTAATGGTATGTAGCCACCGCTGCAATGTTTTTTTGCTTACCCATCATATCTTTTGTCTTCTTGAAATGTTTGTACCACCTTCCAAATTCTTGACATTTTGCTGCTGAGACATTTGCATAGTAAGTGCTGTTCACAATGGAAGAAATCATACTCTGCATGAAGAAGGGGGGAGAACATTTGTAATACACAGAGGCACAAGATGAAACACAGAAAGGATCTCAATTGTATTTTTTTTTAATCAACTGAGTACCAATACATTTTTGTTTCACACTTTAGCCTAAAGCTTCGATTTCTTGAAATTCATTAAGTAGATCATCAAATGCTTATTTAAGTAGAAAGTAACAGCCCACTGAGACCAGCATAAAGCTATCAAACGCACAGACTTTGCTCTAGCATTTATTGAATCTCCATCAACGTTATCTATTCCTAGGTTGTCAAACTTTCACTGGTCCCAATAAATCCAAATACACGAAGATGACGTTATAATTGTGATTCACAAATATATACCACTTTGAGATTTTTTTTGACTGGACTCTACATCCTTTCTCCTCAAAATATAGACCAGGGACCAGCAATATGGGCATCACTTGGAAGCTTGTTAGAAATGCAGAATCCTGGGCCCTACCCCAGACCAGGACACTCAGCACCCGTATTTCACCAGGATCCCCAGGGATTACAATTTGAGAAACAGCACTTGCACTTTTCACTCTATTATTTTAAAGTGGTGTGTTAACACTGTTCAAAGGTTAACTGACCATATTTGAAAAGAAACAAACTAGTCACAGAGATCCTTTATCAAGAGAAAGACATTCTGCAATCTTATTACTGGCTTCATCAACAGTAAAGCTTAAGTTTTGAATTTCACTGACCATAAAAATTTTAAATTTATACATTTCACGCTACTAAATTTCTCAAGGATACCACAAAAAAAGATGTCCTATTGTGACTTTTCTTTATCCTGCTTTTAATACATTTAAATCCTGCTTTTACCCTGAAAACAGGGTCAACCCTTTAACATACAAAAATGAAGACACGATTTTAATTTATTACCAGGAGGTTTTTTTTTTTAATCATTTTCAACAAGTGTTTTCCTCCCAGAAAATTTTGGTTATGGTAAACTAAATTTGAGGTCCATTTTAACCTGTTACCCATATTCTCTAGTAACAGCTTAAGTAAGCTGTTACTAGAGAATATGGGTCTTAGGAGTAAGATTTTGTAGCACCAATCCATCCCTCACCCCTATGTGTAGAAACAGGAGAACTCGCATTTCAGACATCAGTTGGTCTATGGTGAAATAGTTTACAGAAGGCAGCATTGTTCAAGGAGGCAGTGAACAACCAGAAAAGCCAGTTTGGGGACAAAAGTATTTTTATATAATTATCTTCTTTAAGTTACCTCTAATGTAAAGCTCTTTTGGTTATTATTCATTCTCCTGACATCCACTATTAGTTTTAATTCTGTAGCATGCACACATTTCCGTAATATGTAAATTTGGGGGATCTCTAAAGAACTTCCAGTGAAGGATAAGCTGGGGTTGCATTATTTATGTAAAACACAGCTATCTTTCCTAAGAGGCACGGTGATATCTTTTTTTTTTTGACACTTTCTACTTTATAGTCATTTTCACATTTTATATCTCTAAAAAGACATTCTTAATGTGTTCATGATGCTTTGCCATTAATCCAATAGCTTGCAATTTCACTAAGAGCCTCCCACAGTCCACAGCGTAAAAAGACACTTAGCAAAGTTGCCAAAACCAGAGCCAGAAGATTACCTGATCTGTCAGCTTCGATCTCACTTACTCTCTGGTAATAAGGGATCAATAAAGTCAGACACTAATAAATACTATTGAGATCGCTGATGGATAATGGCGATTCTTCTGCAAATGGATGACAGTTCATGTTTTTCCACTCTGGTCCAATTTTTTTTTTTTTAAATGATTACTCTTTACATAGACATTCTGACAGTTCCTTAAATATTAATATGGTAACACATGGAAGTTTTAGATGTGGTTTATGTCTTACTTTTTAGAAGTGTATGGAATATCTAAATTTTGCTGAGGTTTTTGACAAACATCCAGTATACTTCAGTTTGCCAACAGTTCTATATATGAATATTCTCTTTGCTGCACACCTACCATATCCTGGCTGGTACTAAGGAGGCAAAGATGGGTAAGACACAGCCTCTGCCTACAAGAAGTTTACTATCTATTAAGAACACAGATATGTAAATAGATCATCTCAATTTAATGTGATTTAGTGTATCAACAGTGGAAAATGTATAGGGGACGAGGGAAGAAGGAAGAATCCATGGTGTATGTGAAAACAAATCTGAAATAGTTTTATAAAACTAGATGTTAGATGTAGTAGTGCTATATAGTTTATTATTATCCATACATGGAAAATAATATCCATATGTGCATCATCATCGAAGCTTCCCCCTACCCTGCTTAACCCTAAAGCGGTAGGCTCTGGGCTTAAGTGCTTTTTCTGTCATATGGTGTATGCTTAGGAAACTCTGATTAGTGTAAATAATAGCCTAAGACAGACATGAAAGGCTAATCCATAACTTATAATGCATGACAAAGCAACTTTTTGGATTCCCTATCTTTCTGTGCTTTAGGGTGACTGGGAACTATTTCCTAATTCAGGTAACTTACAGTCACGTCTATTTTTATTGGAACAACATGCAATAATCTGTCCAATGAGATTGCTCATATAGCTACCTCAAGAGGGTGTGTGTGTGTGTGTGTGTGTGTGTATGTGTGTGTGTGGCCCGTCATGCATGTGTTGATCAGGTGGTAAAATCCTTACTAAAAACTTAGGCATAGCATTGGAGTAGAACAGCCAGCTGGTTTCAAAGGCAGGGAAGAGACTGCAGAATTTTGTGGTGCACATGCATTTGAAAATCATATTCAATAGTGTAATCTTAGAGCATCAGGAAAGAAACACCTATCTGTGTTTTGATAACACAAATAAAAGAAAGTCATAGTTGGTAATATTTTCCTAGGTGGTGGGGATGTACAGATAGTAGACCAAGTTTCATGTTAGAAAGGCTTGGGATTCTTGTGTCATTTAAAAGGAGGTACTGGTTTAAAAAGACTGCACTAAGCTGTGAGTTCACGCAGGTCTGGGGTACCATATTATTTTCTAGCTCAATGCCTGGCATATATCAAAATAAACACTAAATGTTCATCTGACAAAACAGAATAGAAATAAACATGCATTCGAGTAAGGATGTATCACACACTGGTAGTATGACCTTGGGTCAAATAGTTGACCATTCCATCACAATTTCCTATGCTAAATGGGAATGATAATAGCACACATCTCACGGAGTTGCTCTGACAATCCATCCATTCAGGCATTTTTAAAATTAATTCAGCATATACTTATTTAATTTCTACTATGTGCCAAGCACTGGACAAGTCAGTAAGAAAATAATGATGTGAAGAGACATACTATCTACCCTTGGACAGACAATAAATAATAGATGTGTTACAATTAGCAAAGAGCCTGTAACATATTAAGTATATACTTAAGAGATATTAATTACTATGACAACCCTCTGCCACCTCCTCATCACTGGGCTTTCATTATATGATCACATTTCATATCAGATGACTACAGTTTAAATATCAAAGGAGTATCAGGTAAAATTTTCAAATGATATACAGTATTTTCAGTGTAATGTAGAATGAAGTATACTGATGAAATTATTAAGTTACAAGTTGGGTCAAGTAATAGTAAGGGAAAACACCAAAGGGAAATATTCCATTTCTTCTCATACTCCAATTTGGTGGTATTTTTTGAAGCTGGCCTGTATCTGGTAGACAGCATCAAGAAGGCACCACCACTCCTCTGGCTTGGATGCATGACCCATGCCCTCTTCCATCTCTAGCTAACAGTTGCTCATCCTTCAGGATACAGCCTGGGCATCCTGGCTTCCATGAGGCCTTTCCTAACTTCCCTGCACTAGAGCACTCATCCTGCTGTTTATTTTCCACTGAACTATGGGCCTAAAGACTCATCTCAATATATCCTGGACTCATTACAGGGCTGGTCACATACGAGGTGATCAATGAAAAGGGTCACTAAAAAAAGTCATTACTGCAAGCCACCAGAAATCCTCTTCCCTCTTTTTCCCCTTAAAGGTCAAAAGTAATGGCAGCTTAACTGTTGTCACACGAATCTTTCAAATCCATCGCTTTGGCTGTCGTGACAGAAATCATAGTTTCAAGAACCTTTGTTCATTAATTTGCAAGAGATCCCTTCCCAGGTTTTTCAAAATACATCCACACAGATGTCTCGGAAGTTGCAGTGCTCGGTGGTTATGTTATTCCAGTTCTCTCTCAGTGTCTATTTATATGAGCTATCCAAAGCACTTTGAAAAAGACACAACTTGTATGGCAAGTTTCCTATTCAGTGGCTGGTCTGTATAAAACATCAATGTTCACTGAATAAAATAAACCAACTGACAAAACTCAGTCGGTTGAAATCCCAAGTTCAAATGCTACACAGTATACCAACCAATAAATAGGCCACAGTTTCCAGTGTTGGGAAATACAATTTCAAAGTTGGCAGAAATTGGCTGTGGGTCTCATAACCCCAGTGTGACACAATATTCTCATCCTAGGAGCCAAGTTGTAAGCTTTTCTAAGATGCATAAAGCACATGTCTACTCCCTATGAAGAGCTTCGGTTCTTTCTGAGAGTCTGCTGAAGTTCCGATCTGAAAGAATGCCATCTTCACAGAAACCCCAGTACTCTAGAATGATACCATCTGCCACAGGCTGAGCTTCCTTTTCAGCCAAATACATTATTTATAACCTTTCTAATTGTGAAAAGGTAAGGGTGGAATTTTTCTAAAGCCTAACTTAAAGATAGACAGAACATTCTGAACCTTTGCTCTCAAATACTGTAGCTCTTTTAAATTTGAAAAACAAAAACCACAAGGAATCAGTTGAGGTTACATAATTTTTCAAAAAAATATATTCTTTTAAACCCCTGCTAGAATATCATATATACTGTAGGTATATATTTATAATACATTAAAAAATGAAGAAACATGGTTTTATTTTTCTACTTGTTCATCTTAGTAGCCAATGAAGGGGTTTTTAGAGAGGTGAGGACTTCTCAAAAAAAGATTCATCA